AAGAGCGGTCACATGAAGGTAGGTGACATTACGTTCGATCGATAAACCAGACACCCTCATTTCCTGGTGAAGATGAGGATGCCACCCACTTGTATACATAAAATGCAAATATAAAACAACAAACATTTATATATTATGGGTACTTTTATTACAATAAAGAAGATGCAACTTGGTCTCACAGACACCTAAATACACATATTATCAGTTCTTTCTTTATATATATGGGGTCGCTGGAAAAGTCATGATATATTTTTGCAAAGAAAAACAGAAAAAAAATACACTGTGACTTTTCCGACAACCCAGAATTTTTGAGGCACTACTTGGGGGGAAAAATAGTAGCCTCACTGCCAATATCTAGATACTTAGGGATAAAAATGTTTTAATCTCCCCATTCTCAGGCAGCAATGTTCTTTCTCAGAAAAAGAAGGGAATACCCTCAAAAGAATTAACCCTTGGTCCAGAGAATCTGCCTAACAGTTATGGCAGACGAAGAGTAGATCTCTAAGAACTGTGAACCCCCTTCATGACTCAAGGGAGGTTGAGCAATAGCCCATCTGCTGCCCCTTCCTGAAGACAAATATTTTAGACTCGACCAAACAAAATCAGGGGTAAGGGAAAAAATAGTGACTATGTGAGAGGAGAGTGGATCAAGAGAAGTCAAAGGGGCCCCGGAAGGCCGTCATTGCCTGCAGTTTGAGCGACAGAAAGGACTAGGGAGTTGAGCTATTGGAGGACGTGTCTGTGGCTAATCTGGGGAGAATCTCCTCTTGCATTTAATGTCCAAAGGCAGAGGGAAAGCCATTCTTACTGGGGCCATCTTATTTCGAGCTCATTTTCATTCATTTTTCTCCTGTCACTGTTAGCTTACTGTTGCTGTGTGACTTTGTGCCAAATGGACAGTCAAGCCTAGAAGGTTCTAGCAGCATACATTAATACTGCTTTGGAAGGCACTGGTTTCTCGGAGACTGAAATACCTAAGTGCAGTAATTAACTTGCTCGTCACACTGAGCTGTAGAGCATAGACTGCAGAGATTTAAGTAAATCCAGACCGCTCTCCTTACTCGAGATGCTGTCACTGATTTCTTTTGTTTGACATCAAACCTCCTTCCGCCCGCCCTTGCTCCCTTCAGCACCCCTCAGCCTCCGAAGGCTTGGTGTGTTTGGCATCCTTGTGGTGTTTTCAGACTCTTCCCCTGACAGCAAGTGCTTTTCCCTGCCAGGATCTATATTTTACCTTGTCTTTTCATCTTTTCCTTTGCTAAGCTATCTTGGGTGCGTGCATGCTTGGATTTTTCTTTCCTTCCTCTTCCCCCCTTCTCTCCTCTGCTGCTCATTGAGGAAAGATTGAACAGCACCGACATTGCTTGCTTCCCCCAAATTGATTGTGCCTGTCTGTTTGATCCAATGCAGGGAGGATTAGTTGCCTGTAAACTGGAGCAAGAAGAAATCTATCAAACAAATGCCTTTCCTAATTCCAGTTTAAAGAATCTGGTGTCAGGCTTCAAATAACAATGGCCGCTCTACGAGTTATCATAAGAACAGAGTGTTATCTGCCCCATCCGGTTGCATGCAACTGGTTATTCATTTTTCAGTTGTGACCTCTCCAAACAGACTGAAGCTAGAGGTCTTCTAGTGACCTCTGACCCCTCCCTATGACCTCTGCCTCCCTTAAAGGGCAGGATGCCTGAAAGTCGGATGTGATGAATATGTGTAATTTGAATAGATGTGAATTCAATGTAAGAAGCATGGCATATGGTGGAAGACAGCAGAAGGGAAACTACCTATTAGGTTGTCGGGGAAGTCATGACGTGTTATCCTATGCAAAAAATGTGTCATGACTTTGCCCACAACCCAAGGTTTCACCCAGACATTTGTAATGTGCAATGCTTTCTTATTCATTATGAAGCAGTTGACCAAACAGATGGCAGATTCCTGTCCAAAAATAACCCCTAAGACTGTGGTTGAGAGAAAAATCACCTGCAACATTTTCAACCCCAAAATATTCTAGCCAGTCAATCTATACTCATTAAAAGATGACAGAGAGGAAATGAATACAATAACATCTCTTGTTTCGAAACCAGCAACAGGCTGTCTCTGCACTGTCTGATTAGTTTCTGTTGAATAGAGTTAAATCCTAAGAAATAATCAGTAGGGTTCTTCTTAGTATCAGGATTTTTATTATAATTCAAAGACTGTAATTAATGTTTGTCAATATAACTCTGTTTTAAAGAGATCTCTGCCACTGTCCTTTCCTTCTCCTCTTCCTTGGATGTAATAAGGTTTCTACTTATCCTTCTGGAAGATTCTCTTTTTGCATGAAAGGAATTACTACAGAAAAAGGGCTCTTGACCAGCAGATGGTGTAATGGCTGCATTACTGGACTCTCATGTGGTCAACAACAGTTCAAGACCCAGACCCAGACCCGGTGGTTTAAACTCACTTTGGGTGGTGCCCAAGGTCCCAAGAGGAGAATGGAGGAGAAGGGATTGCAGCATGGCCATCCCTTCTTGGAGGTTATTTCTCATTTTCTGTCTCTCTGTCTCTCTGGCAAGCACACATGCCCTATAGCAAAAACCTCTCCCAAAAAAGAAAGAAAGAAAGAAAGAAAAAGTAAAAGGGCTCTTCTCCAAAGGTCTCCCTTAAAGACATATAAAGTTTTGTTTTTGTTGTTTGTTTTTTTTTAAAGTATTTGCCATAGAGTACATGCTCTCACCAGAGAGAGACAGTAAGATGGAGACAGTGAGAGGGAAAGTGAGAAATCACATCCCCAGTGGAGATAGCCATGCTACAATCTCTTCTCCTTCATTTTCCTCCTGGGATTTTTGGGCATGCACTCATACGCACCTGGCATGATTTTCAATGATTTTCAAGCTACGAGGTCTGAGACTAGCCATGTGGAAGTCCAGCGTCTTAATAGTCTTAATCACTATGCTACCTTCTGGTCCCCCAAGGATGTGGTTTTTGAATCTCCTAATCCCACAGCCAGCATTAACCCCTGGGAGTAATCTGAGAAGACAAAGCATGGCTTGGCCCTGGACATTGGTGTGTTTTGACAGTAGGTTTCATGCCTCATTTACCACAAAAGCAATTAGAGTGTGTAGTCATCATCCACAGAGCAACTTACTATTATTTTCAGGGGCAGAGAAAATGCAGCAATGGTGGATGTTTGCCCAGTGGCTGAAGCTTCAAATGAAGTGTATGCACTCCGTGTTTTGGTTTTTCTTTTACAGTCCTGTTCTTCCCACTTGTTCATTTAAGAAACGTCTGCAGACTCATTAAGGCATCTTTTGATCTCCTTTCTTTGCCTCCTTCTTTCTCCTTCCTCTCACTCTTATTCCCTGAAATAATTGCATGTGCACTGCAGGGATGCTAAGCTGCTTCCTCACGGGGAGCCGTTTATCCGTTGTGACAGGTCTTTTGCAAAGTCATTTAACAGTTTTGCCGAGTCAGCTGCTGTACATCCTGATTTGTATCCCTTCATTGCCTCTGCCTCTCGTTCCTCTCAGCTGAGCTCCCCTAACTCCATTTGTCCCTGTGTCAATAGCAAGAGAAGGCTCAGGATTTCAGGGCTGCAGTATCTCAGTTGCTCCCATATTCTCCCAAATTGTCATCCTGTTGCTGTAGCTTGGGTTCCCCTGAGCATCTACGTAAGGTCATTGGATTCATTCTTTAGTTCGATGGGACATTAAAAAACAGAAATCTGGGGCCAGCTGGTAGTGTAGTGGTTATGATGCTGGACTTCCACATGGTTGACCGTGGTTTGAATCCTGGATCCTGGACTCGAACTGCAGTTCGCTACATGGGAGTTCAGCGACATAGCCATTACGCTAACTGCTGGTCCCAAGTTATTCAATTCTTTGTCATGTATTGGGTTATCAGAAAAATGTATCACAACTTTGCCGACAACCTAATCTGTCATAAACGTTCTCTCCAAATTGTTACTGACCTTCCACATTTTCAGTGTAGTCGTTGACGTGGAATGTTTCTGCCTTTAAGCATTTTTTTTGTTTTTTTTTTTTTTTGGAGAGGTTTTTTGCACTATAGGGCATGTGCGCTCGCCAGACAGACAGAGAGAGACAGAGAGACAGAAAGCAAGAAATCACCCCCCAGGGGGGATGGCCACACCGCAATCCCTTCTCCTCCATTCTCCTCTCGGGATCTTGGGCACGCACGCACACGTGCCCGGTGTGAGTTTTAAGCCACCGGGTCCGGGACACGAACCACGGTCGACTACGTGAGAGTCCAGCGACATAGCCATTACGCTAACTGCTGGTTCCCAGTCTTTACCTTTTAAAACCTATCTATCTCAGTTAAATAACAAATAAATTCAACCCACCGTGAACATGTGTTCATTTGTCTGTTACTGAGCTGAGATAGAATTAGAAGGAGGATATTTACATATCATAATTTATTTTATATTTTCTCTATTGAATCGTTATTTTAAAGTAATCTACTCTTTATTACTGATTAGTAATGTCAACATAGTTTATAGAATATATGTGCATGTGTACCTGGGTATATTTTTGAATTTATATTGGGTTCCATTCATCTGTCTGCCAGATGCAATATTAGTTTCTAATATCATAGCTTTGTAATTTAAATAGATGATGCTGCAAACACCACCTCATTATTATTTATTTTAAAATGTATTTTGCTACATCCTCTTCTTTATTTTCTCTGATGAATTCTATTATAATTTAACTGCCAAAACCTGACTTACCAGAATTTTTAACTCCAGTTGTATTAAAATTATGGATTTTTTTGTCTGTTAACTGATATTGCTTTTTCAAAATGGGATTTTTTTCCCTACTTTTCAAATCTTCTTTGCTGTTCATCAGATAAGTATTCGATGAATTCTTTTTGTATCTCTTTTTTGGAGGTTTGGGTATGTCATCATAAACCTTTAATCTCAATATTTTAAATTTTCTTGAAATTCTAAAATCTTTCCTTTTCACTGTATTTTCCCACATTATTGTTTTAGTTATACAGAACAATTCTGGATTGTTTATGTTTATTTGTAACTTCACTGAACTCTAATTATGCCTAAAAGTGTTCCCTTGTTTTTTTTTTTTTCTAGTTTTATATATATAGACAGGAGTATTATTTATAGATTTTTACAGTTAGCTTTGCTCACTTTTTTTATATGATGTTGGTTAGAGTTTAAAGATGATTATTGTACTGACTTGCTCACTGTGAGCTTAATTTCAAAATGAGAAAGATTATAAGTATGTAAGAATGAAGTGAGATGGTTGGGCAAGTCCCATAGTCTACATGATGAAGGGAGCCAGATCCCACATGGCTGACTGTGCTCTGAATCCCATCCCTAAGGGTTTAATAAACCCCAGGGCACATGTGCATGCATACCAGAAATCCTGACAGAATGGAGAATGGAGAGGGGATTGCAGAGTGTCTAGTCCCTGTTAGGGGATTCTTTCTCCCTCTCTCTTCTCTCTCTGGTAATGCCCATGCCACTAACAATTGGAAAAAAAGATGACTGTTGATTTGATGTTAATGTTTGATATGGTCTTCATTTTCTTTTTTTCTTAACTCATTAATTTAATAAAATCAGGATTAGATAAATAAATGAATTTTATTTAAAAATTTTTTTTGTATCCAGAGTTTTTCTTTTTAAAAAAAAAATAAAATCTTATGTTACAGAGGGCCAGCAGGTAGCATGGTGATTAAGGTGCTGGACTCCCACATGGCTGAGTGCAGTTCAAATCCTGGACCTGGTGGCTTGAAACTCATGCCAGGCATGTGTGCATGCATGCCCCAAATCCTTAGGAGAGCGGAGGAAAAGGGATTGTGCCATGGACTTCTTCTAGGGGGGTGATTTCTCACTTTCCCAATCACTGTCTTTCTCACTTTCTCACTGTTTGGTGAGCTCATGCACCCTAGAGCAAAAAATTTATTATTTTTTTAATGTTACAGGTTTTCTAATATTCAGCCATCCTTGAATGTCTATGGAAACTGTATCTGGGTATAATCTAAAATGTTATTTTAAAATAGAGGTTGAGTTTATCTACTATAAACAGGGTTTTGTGCCTATTTTGGCAAGTGGATGAAGTCCAAACTGAAATACTTTAAGTTCTTCAGTATTTATCTGTGCCTTGAGCTGTACACAATGCCTGTAAAAATCATCCATGTCCTATTTATTAGAAACAAAACATGATTTTTCTGTTTTTATTTTCCTACATAAAACTTATCTATGACTTTCAGGTAATTCTGTTCATATCATATTGAAGTGTAATTGTAATTACTTGGGTTGCTCCTCTGTCCATTCTGTGCAGTCAGTCATGTCCCCGTTCTTGTTTCTCGATGTTGATTCAGCTCACATTTTTCAGAGGACACCTTAAAAAGCTTTTCTTAAAAGAAGATTTTATTTTCTAAAATAAATTAATGGCATAGTTTTGCACATTATGTATGTGAATATCTTTTTCTATTCTTTATGTAAAAATTATTTTTTCCCTGCCTAGAGATTTCATGGGTAACTCATTAAAACAATGTAGACATGGCCAAATTTACTCTAATATTTAATCCTCCAATAGACAGCCTCATTTTTCTCTTTATATACCCTGTTTTTTTTTTTTTTTTCCTGCCTTAACAGTTGTGGTAGTTTCTCTATGTTCATTAACACATGAAATATTTTATATTATGTCAGCGATCAGCCCTTTTCTTTTTTTTCCTTCTCGTTCTTTTCCTGTTCCTTTCCTTTTCCTTCTTTTCTTGTGTTACTTAAGTCCTTTAAATCTATTTGAATTTGAGCACCCCATCCTCCTGTGACAGACTTCAGTCATAAGTTAACAGTGATTTCACTCCAAGTCTTTTCTCCCTCTGGAGTGTTGGTACCCTTTTATCTGTCTTGTCTTTTCTTTTGATCATTTTTACCTGTTTTCCTCACCTCATCATACTTCAGGAGTATGTTCAGACTTTGTCCTCACAGATTCTATTTTCTATGGCATGGACTTTATTGTTTGCTGATAATGCATTTTAATTTCGGTGGTGTTACATTTAGGTTTCATTGTAACTGTTCCCTCCCTTCTCAGCTTCCCTTCTTTTCATATTTGTAATATGTAGCTCTGTTAGTATCTATTGCCTTTTTAAAGTTTATCGATGTCATTTCTCTTGCATTTTCCTAGTACCTTTTATTTTTGAGAAATTTTTGCTATTGGCTGTGTGTGTTCACCAGAGAGACAGAGACAGAGACAGAAAGTGAGAAATCACCCCCTAGGGGGATGGCCATGCCACAATCCCTTCTCCTCCATTCTCCTTTCGGATTTTGGGCATGCATATACATGCACCTGGTGTGTTTCAAGTTGCCAGGTCCAGGACTTGAACTGTGGTTGGCCACGTGGGAGTCCAGTGATGTTACCACTATACCATCTCCTGGCTCTGCATTTCCCTGATATCTTAATGTAGGCTACTCTATATAGTGCTCCCTATGTACCCTTAATATAGTGCTCCCTTCTGTGTCTTACGGCTGGACATTTCCCATTATGCACCACTGCCCTGCGGTTGAGTAAGGCATTTACATCCTTATGTGTTTCAGAATATTTCATCTGCTCTGTGTTGCTGCAGTTCTTCCCTCCTCTGCTCGTCTAATTTCTTTTCCATCATCTTTGTCTATTCATCTTTCAATGAAGACAGCTCTATGAAGCTTTGTGTTTGCTCGACAACCAATGGTTTGAATGTCCTTAACCCTTTTATAGCCTAACTGATAATGATAGTTCTTTTCATTTTAATAGGAAGTAGCCTAATTTAGGGGATAATTTTTCCTAAAGAATTCTTGGTATTTTGACTTTTTCCCGAGAGTATCTTGTTAGTGTAATTGCATTGAGATTAGGGAGACCGGGCTTGGACAAATGAAAAATGGTGGGAAGTGGCTTATCCGCATCCATGGGCCATAATGGGAAATCTGGGGTTGGGGAGAATGCTTCTTGAAAGGTGCCATTATCTCAAAAGAGAGGATGGAGACTCAGTGGAATCTGAACATTTCAAATTAATATCTATTTCCATCAAGCCCAGATTAATACTACATGGCAAGTTTTGGTGGCATTGCTCTTTAATTGTCACCTATAAACGAAGTTCTGTTCAAATGAAATAAAAGAAAAAAATTAGCCCATGGTATTGTGCTATCTAAGAACATTCTTAGTGTTTTTCTGTAGTTGAAGGTAAGGACGTGCTACGTGGAGGGGAATGTTGGAATAGAAGTCACCCTGGGGATTTTGTAGATGATAAGTATCACATTTTGCTTTAAAACATTAAATGGCTCTCCAGCTGATCAGGGAAAATAAAATGATTAACCAGAAAGAAGTGCTAATCTTAGCTTGGGAAAACAACAACAACAAAAATACAGTTCCATTAGCAGTTTTAAAAAAAAAAAGCAAAATCAATTATTTTCGGAGTGACTTTATATTGGTTTTTCTATAATAAATAAACCAAAATAATGAAAATACAGTGTTAGTGTGTCTATAAGGGAAGTGGTTTAATATCATACAGCTTGCTGCAAAATGGTTTCCTTCCCTTGGAGAGCAATTTGGCAATTTGCAAGAAGGTCCATAAAAACCTCTCGGATGATCCTGTATTTCCAGTTTGCAGAATATTCCTCAAGAAAATAACTCTAACAAAAAGGATTTAGGGGCCAGGAGGTGGCATAGCGGTTAAGGTGCTGGACTCCCACGTGGTCGTCTATGGTTTGAGTCCTGGACCCAACAGCTTGAAACTCACACAGAGCACATGTGCACGCATGTTCAAAATCCCAAGAGGAGAACAGAAGAGAGGGCATGCACTGTGGCCATTTTCCCTAGCTGGTAATTTTTGCTTTCTGTCTCTCTATCTCTGTCTCTCCAGCAAGTGACCACACCCCTATAGCAAAATTCTAAAGTGTGTGAATGTGTATGTATATGTATATACTATGTAGATAGATCTTTATAGAAATAATAATTATATTCCCAAATAAGTTTATACAACTGAAAATCCTAACTGTAGGGGGGAAAAAAAAAAAGCACTGTTGATTAGTTTTCTAGGATACTATAAACTGTGGAACATAATGAGTATGTAAATATATACATAAGATAATAATAGTAACAAACATTAAAGGCCTTACCATGAACCAGATGTTGTGCTAAGCATTTTATAAATATTATCTCACTTAATCATATATCTCATCCTGGGTGGTCCATGCTATAATTATCGTTCCTTTTACAAACAAGGAAATTAAGTTTTAGGGAGGTTAGGAAGTGTGCTGGGGGTCGTGAGTTCAGTAAGAGGCTATACAGGCTTTTGAATCCACTTCTGTGTAATTCCAAGGCTCCAGCTGTCGTCCTGTATCACACACCCTCTCAAATAGTAAATAAAGACAAAAGCAGGAGAGTTAACGCTGCGCTCATGCCGACTGCGACTTCAGCAATATGTACAAGCATTGGTAGACGGGAGTAACATTAAATGTACAACCTGACCTAATGAATCTCGCTTATCTTGCTGGTTTTTTTTTTTTCTCCATACAGTTTCTAAAAGTGTATGTTGGGGACACACGCACACACACGTGTGTATATATGTGTGTGCGTGTGTGTATGTGTTTGTATATACATGTTTAAATTAGAATGAGATCATGATGGCCCATAAATATCCTTTAGTTAAAGAAAGAAAAAAAAATAAAAACCTGGGGTCAGCAGATGGTGTGGAGGTTGTTGCTGGACTTCTACACGGTAGGGTAGACCGCAGTTAGAGTCCCAGATCCGGTGACTTAACAATCACACCAGGTATGTGTGTATGTGCCCCCAGGATCCGAGGAGGAGAATGGAGGAGAAGTGATTGTGGCACGGCCATCCCCCAGTGGGTGATTTCTCACTTTCCCTTTCATTGTCTCTGTCTCTATCTCTCTCCAGCAAGTACGTGTGACCTAAGGCAAAAAAGAAAACGAAAAGAAGTAAAAAAAAAATAATAAAAAAAATAAAAAAACCCTCTTATTTATTTCTTCCATGAGAAAGGGAAACAGAGACATAGAGATTACAAGAGAGACAGGCACCCCAAACAGGGTCTTCACACTCATACTATGGTCCACCCCTAGCCTCAGCTAGCCAGGGTCACAAGCATGTGCTAGTCAGGGTCACAAGCACATGTGTTCATGCCTGGAGACCTTGGGGCGTGAACCCAGGACCTCCCCGTATGGCCTCAGCATTGCCGAGTGTTGTTACCATTCGCCTGGCACCACTGCAGCTGGCCTGTTTTAATAGTATTCAGGGAAGATCAGTGCCTGCCATCATAGGTTGCACACATGGAGATAACCCATGGAGATAACAACTACGAAAGAGGACAAGATTGCAGACAGAAAGGAATGAAAGTGCATTTTCTTCACAGAGCACTTGCTATTTGGAAACTGTTAACCACCTAGTAACAACCATGCAAGTTAACCTAAAAGAATTCCTATTTTACAAGTGACTCCATGGGAGCCCGGGGAATCTAAGTGGCTCGCGAGGTGCAGTTAAGTGATTTCCTCGTTGCCAGTCAACGCTGGGAAGCTCCTTTATCTCAGACCCAGCCAAATGAACATCTGGTCTCTTACCTGAGAGACTATAAATCCCTGAACGCAGGCTAGGCTACCAGCTCCTGGAAACAGATTTCAGTGCAGAAACTCAGTCTTCCCCCTTCTCTGCATCAGCTGCAACTTTCTGCTGCCCTTGCCTTTATGTAGTGAGTTCTAAAAATGGAAGGCTGATAAAATCTTTAATGTTTTCCCAAACAGGAGAGGTGGTTTTCACTTACAGAGGATTCCAATAGGCTGGCTTGGGTAGGCTAAGTAATTTCGACGACTTTTCATTAATTTTAGCATATCATCTTTTTCTCTGTATTCCTCTTTTTCTGTTGATTTTCTGTGTACTGAGTGGCTCTGATCCTTGTGGCCTTAACTGAAGAACTAGCCCTTTAGATCTAGGGTTCAAAGCCATTTCGCCCGTGAGAGCTGATTTATCAGGTACGCTAGAGAAAGCGAGACTATGGATTCCACAGCAAAGTCAAAACACAGGAAGGAAGAAATGAAGAGAGGAGAAAGAGAGAGGAGAGACAGAAGGAAAGAGGGAAAAGAAGCAGGCAGCAGGCAAGCTGTTGCAGAGGAGACATCAAGATCATGAGTCGAACTCGGAGATCCTTACAGGGATTAAAAGAATCACAGTAGATTTACATTGTTAGTTCATGAGATCCATTAACTGACTCTGTGTTGAAAAAAGGGCTGCTTTTAAGTTTCTATGAATATTTCCATGTTTACCTGATTTCTTTTTAAAAAATATTTACTTAATTTTATTTTTTATTATTATTAAAAAATTATTTTAGGGCACATGTGCTCAGTAGACAGAGACATGGGGGAACGTAAGGAAGCAACCAGCACGTCCGGAACTTGAACCGTGGTTGGCCATGTGGGAATCCAGTGCCCCAACCACCATGCCACTTGGTTCATTTCTTAACCCTGACCAAAAATCTCTCTCTCTCAAGAGGAAAGAAAGTAAAGAAACTCAGACACATTCCAGTGTACTCAAGGCAAAGTAGTCTCTGATGGCTTTTGCTGTCCCACGGGTATTCATGAAGTCCTCCCTTTAGTACCAACATAGATTTCCAGCACAGACATGGGGCTTAGTTTCAAGGAGACCCACTTCTGGGTCATGGTTTTCTTGCTGAAAACAGGCTTCACGACGCTGGGGAGGTGGCTTGACTTGTTTACTCTCAGATTTCTGAACTTTCAAATGGAAGATCTCTGAATTCCTTTCAGCCCTGATATCCTCTGTTTATTCTCCAAGCAATGGGCATTGACACCCTCATAGTCTAACAGGATTGTTACGCTGCCTTCAAGATGCAGAGATAAGGCGGTTGAATTATGTTAAGGGCTCAAAGCGTGTATTCGATTGAATACAAATTAAATTTTATCATGTGGTCTACTGGATAGATAATTAAAGGACAGAAACTTAACTGTAAATAGGAAACACAAAGGAATTAGAACAAATAAGGAGAAAGGGAGAAAAGTAAAGAAAGAGACTGAGAAGTGGATGCCATTCTTTTGGGGGGGGAAAACATGGTGGATGAAGGATGTCAAACCAGCACCAGATGGAGACTGATACAAGATGACCTTTTATAATGGGGCTTAAATATTCTTTTTTTTTTCCCCAGAATAATTTATTTAGAGGCCAGCAGGTGGCATAGTACTTAAGGTGCTGGACTCCCACGTGGCCGATTGCAGTTTGAATCCTGGACCTGGTGGTTTGAAATGTACACCAGGTGCATGTGTGTGCCTGCCGAAAATCCTGAGAGGAAAATGGAGAAGGGATTGTGGCATGGCTGTCCCTCCTGGGGTCAGGTGGCATGATTTCTTCCTTCCTGTTTCCCTATCTCTCTTTGTCTCTCCAGTAAGAGCATGCACCCTATAGCAAAAGAAAAGAGAAGAAAAATATATATATATATAAAAATTGCTTAAAAAAGAATTATTTATTTTTATTTATTATTATTATTTAATTTGATCAGAGAGAGAGAGAAAAAACAAGCCACAAGGTCGGGGACTTGAACCTCAGTCAGTCATGTGGCAGTCTAGCGACCTAACCACCATGCCACCTGCCAGCCACAGGGCTTAAATGTTCTTGATGGAATCGCAACACGTACTGGGTTCTGTTCCTGGAAGTGGATGATTCAAGGAAAGGAGTTGTGGGTTGCCTTAGCTTGGACAACACATAC